AATATGCTGACTCTGTAAACCGCTTAGAGAGGGCTGAAAGCCCTATGAAGCGGTATATAAGCCTAACTATTGCTATCTAGTAATTTTCTTGGGGCTGATGACAAAAGAAAAATAAACTGCTGTGTCGATTGTGGGTCTGGGAAAATGCAGTCTATATTCTAAAACAACCTCTACAGTCTCTAGAGGTCAAGCTAGAGTCCACAAATGACTAAAGCTAAAATCACCATACCCGTCTCACCTAAAAAATGAGAAACATCAACATGTTCCAATATTTTAATATGAAGGGATCAAATGAGGTATTTTTTTTGGTGAAAGTCTCACTGCAAATTCAACACATTTATCACCTACTCTTGTAAGTCTATAATGTATGACTTAGACAATTAAGTTAATGCAACTATGCATGTGTCTAAGAGACTGATTATACATATAATTCACATTCTCAGTCTACAGAAGTTGACAAAATCACAAAATAGGTATAAGAGGAACTGCTATAACTTTGGTATATGATGGACCAGATGTACTTTAATCCATAAAATGTCCCACTGAATTGTCATAATTGAACAGAATTAAAGAGGAGACTGGCCAGTATAATAGGCTTCTGCAATCATTTCTGGTATGTCCGTGAAGTTAAATAATAAGCTTAACTCTAATATGAATATCTAAATTATTACTTTTGCTACCATTTTCTGACGTATTCGATATATTTTAAAAAGAGGCCGAAGCATGATAACCTAGCATAGTTCTTCAGAAGGAAACCCTATTTATATGAATGCTGCTGGAAAGTCATTAAGATGTTATTACTCCCTAACGGTATAAATACACCTTTTGAGATTGCTTAGCTATAGCAAGCTTTGGCTTAAAAAAAAAGTCAATACAGGTCAAATCTTATATTCTGAGTGAACATGGTGTGTCCAGTGTGCTTCCCACTTCAACCATGGTGTGGGAAGAAAACATTACAAACCTGGTGGAGTTCCTTTGACCTGCTTGGTTATTTTGCTGTCCAGTGTTTTGCAGTGGAGAATCTCGGCGGGATAGCACAGGTGATCTCGATGTGGTTCTCACTGGTACCTTACGGAGTGAACAAGTGGGAATAAAAATAATATAGTGTTGCAGGAGCAAAACTAAGGTTGTTTTTTTTTTTGCTCCTGTAAAGATATATACACAGATATATTACTAAATGTATAAAACTATATTACTAGCATCTAAGTAAAGTAATTCTATTGGTTAAATGTTCACCAACTATAGAACCCATAAACCAGTTGGGCTGCATTTAAGATGCTGAAAAAATAGGTTGTTTAGTAAATAGCTAGCATAGAAACAAATAACTACCCACTCACAATCATGACAGAACATAGAACTTTAAAGCAAGGGATTCACACAGCAATAGGCTACAGTAGCATGAGGATTTAGAAAATTAAGCTCTAAGGAACCAACAAATGCTTAATAATGGATCAGTAAAAGGCAGACTAGGAGGAAAGCAAGATTATATCTGATAAAAGTAAATCACATTTAAAAAACCTTGTTTTGTGGTCAATATTATCTTAAAATATTCACTGACTTAAGTTAAAGGAATTTTAAAGAAATAATTTTGGCTATGATTTTTTTTGGTTCGTGCTTTCTTGGATATTATCTTTAGAATGATAAATATTTTATTTATGGATAATAGACATCTTATAAATGTTTGCTGATCTTCAATTTTCTGTAACCATCTACTTTAGAAGGCAAATTCTTCTTCAGAAAAAAAATGAAACAAGGAAGAGGAGGAGGAGAACTATTACTATATACCACCCTTAAAACAAAAATATTCCCGGGGTGGCATATAAACATATTAAAAGCACAAATTGCCTGTTTCTGGTATTCTACAGGTGTGCACTCATTAATTAAAAAACTAGCACATGCCTTCTGTTATTCTTTGGTTTAAAGAAGTCAAATTTCTGTCTTTCTATTTCTTACCCTTGGAGGCACCTCGTCACTGTCTGATCTAGCCCAAGACTTTTGGGTGGGGTCAGATACCTCAGATTTAGAGTCAGAACTTTGATTTAGCACTTCACTGCGTGAAGGTGGATATGGGTCCTGAGAGCGCAGATGGTGATGTGCAAATTTGGGAGAAGGGTCACTGAAGGAATGGGACCGTGAGACAGGGGGAACATTGTTCTTGAGAGATGCCAGGTGAGACCACTGTACCTTACAAAAAAAAAAAAAACATAGAACATTCAATGCGTTCTGTACAACTGGCTTTTCCCAATTAAACACAGAATAAAAGGCAAGAAGGATTTAGCTAGCAGGGTGGTCACATCTGAGATATGAAGCAAGGTAAGCACATGATGAAATCAGTGGGCTTAAAGCAAGGAAGGTGCTTAGAGAACGTGAAAAGCTGTGAACATAATGTACTGGCATGTCGGAAAGCATATTCTGAACATATAAGTTCACTGGAAGGAAATGAGAGCAAATCCCACTTGTTCTAACATATGGCCAAGTATGTTCCAAATATGCCGTATACCAAATTTAAAACATCAATAAAAGAATCTTATTTTGGAGTAGTAGAAGTCAAAAGAAGCAACCAAGAAGCCAGTAAATATAATGGCTTTGAAACAATTTATTGGTATATTCAGAATGTGAAATATGTTGTATTTAGGCATTATGGAAGAGTTACATGAGTTACATGCTTTTTTTTCAGCAAATATATATACTGATTTATATATGTGCCCTTGTCAATGTGTGTGTGTGTATACACACTGTAAACTCCATACATACACACATATGCACATACAAAGATCAGGTAATATATGATATATGCATATATATATATATATATATATATATATATATATATAT